GGGGGGGCGTTAATGGAGTTGTTTACCACCCCGGGAGACCTCTCCCTTCCTCGGGGCCGGGAGGCTGCTCATCTCACCCTTTAACTCTTTCAGGTGGTTTCCGCTTGGAAAAACCTCTTTCCAAGCGCTGCTGGCGCAGAGGCAGGCGTTTTCCTAATTACGCTAGATAAAAATTCAGATCAAGGGGCTTCTTTAATTAAAGGGCTCTCCCAGGGATTAAAAGCTGCACAAAGGCTGGTGCGTGAGGACCTGAAGGTTGAACTGAATCCTTTCGCTGCCTGGGTTGGGAGAGACGCGGAAAGTAAGCAAATATCCATGCTGAGGGGTAAAATGGATGTTAAAACCTGGAGCGGTTTAATGTTATTAATTAGTCTAGTTGCAGTTGTGATCTTAAACTCTGTCCCGATATTGTGACTTAATTATTTGCTGTGAGAAACGCGTCCCCTCATTGACTTAAAACTTGCCGTAAAGTTGGCTGTGCCTCTCCACACTAACATCGATACTTGCTGAGGGCATGTTCCCCGTATCCAAAATTCATCTTTTTGGAGGCTTGCGAGGTTTGAGCTGGGCTCTGATGAAAACCCTCGGCAGCCGCGCATAAATCCTGCCGAAACCTGCCACACGCTATTGTACCTGAACTCCAGGAAATACGCGGGCGCTGCATACCAGGGTGTTGCTGCACCTGAGGTGTGTTTGCTCGGCATGTTAACCGAGTATCAGGTCATTTATTATCGTTAATGTACCCGAGGCATGTATTAACTGCACGCCCTGCTGAATGTCCCCCAGGCAAGAGAGGTGACACCTCACCCGTGCCTCAGGTGCAACAATATACAGCAAGGTGTGGGCTGTAGGTTCTCTAGCCTGGTTTATGGTTGCTGTTGCAACACCGGCACCAGTTCATTGTTGCTTTACCAGAGGAGGGTGTGTGTGGAGCTTGGCCAGATGGTGTATTGTGCCTGCCGAAGGAGTCTAAGACTCTTTTCAGCTGCCAGGTAATGCATTATTGCTCCTGACATTCAAACCACTAATCCACTTTATATTGTTTCATTTGCAAGCTAAAGCTATGCTGCTGCCTGCTAGATAAAAATGCAAATGCACCAGCCAGGCTTTTCATTTTGGTGATGGGCTGTTATTTAGCACAGGGAAGAGTTTGCAGAGGAAAAATTAGTTGGGCATCGTAGCTCGAGGGCGCTCTGTACGAGAGAGCGTCTGACAACCTTAGAGGAAGACTTGGAGTTGTGCTAAGGATGCTCGAAGTTGTCTTTCACTTTTAAAACTGGTGTCTGGTAGGTTATTTGTCGTTCTAGAACAGAACTGTGTCTGTTTTGAAAATGTGTGTTAGCGAAATAGTCTCTTTTTTCAAGTATGTGGCTTTAATAGCACAGTGCTGGTTGTAAACAGGGTGGTGGGAGGTGGCCAGGAGACTCTGTAGCTTGTTTGTAGTTGGCCTTTCCTTTGTTTCTCCAAGCCGACTGTATTTTGATATCAATGAACCTTGAAGGGCAGCAAGCGAGACCTGTTTAAGCATCTTTTTACATAAAAAAAGCTGAGAAGGACCATCTTTGTCAACAGGTCCAGTTTGTGACACAAAGTCCAAAATATACATGCTGATTTTAATGGTTGGGGATTACAGGCGTAGTCATCTTTCTAGGATTTACTCTAGATCAGAGTGGTATTTCTGACTGCGGTCTCTTCTGTTGGTCTTTGCTCAAGAGGAGGCTAGTGCTGGCTCAGCATGGGCTTGCTGCAGGTCAAAATGGAGAGCTAGGAAAGGCTGTCCTTCGGCTGGGAAAATCGAAGGGAGGCCATGGCCGGGGCTTGAGATGCACTGGGAACCAGAGGCAGGAGTTGCTTGGCGCTCAGCGGTCTGTTTCAGGCTACAGTGGTCTTGTCTCGCTCTCCTGGGGCAAAATAATGGCTGAATATAGGGGGTTTTTAAAGGCAGACATATAAAGTGTAAAGAATTTAGTAATGTAAGGAAAAGAATTTAGAGATGACTGTTGTGTGATAAATTACTGCCCATTTTTTAATAGAAATATGGTCAAGCTTATCACCCTGACTGTCTCCTTTTAAGGTAGTATTTTCAGAAGCACCAAACCCTAGATGTTAAACCTAACATTAAAAAAGTAATTATTTAGGAAGTGTGGAAGGATTCTGACAGAAAAATGAACTGTTGGGACCGTGGACAAAGGCATTTCAGATGCTGTCTTTGGGGTATACGAAACTGAGGTTATAGCGAATGTGTTCAGCTTGAAAATACAATTAAACAGTCTGAAAATTGAATGCAAGTTTGAGCCTGAGGCTGTTAAACATGAAGCTGATTGTTTCACGGTCTCCTGCACAGGAAAGAGTATTGGCTTTGCACTCTATTTATCCTCTTCCTGGGGAAAAGATGAAAGCATTTTATATTCATACGGACAAATATTTGTCTATCTTTCAGATTCTGACAGTCTCCCAAGGTCGGGGCTTGAACCCTGCCAGATAAAGTCAAAAACGCCCCCCTCTTTTCCCAGCCATGCAAACTGCGGGATGAAGCTGGAAGCTGTGGTCGAGCAGCTGCAGAAGCAGCAGCAGAAGCAGCAAGCGCCTCTGCAGATGGATTCCAGGGAGAGACAGCAGAGGCAGATGAGAGAAGCCCAGCTGCTCTACACTCAGCAGCTGGCTGTGCAGCAGGCTGTCCTAGCAGCCACATCTGGCAGGGCTTCGGGTGGCTCTGCTGTTGGTCCCTTGGCCAGAGGCCCACCTGCAGCTGGAGCTACGCGGGCTTTTGATCAGAGCAGCATGAATTCGGAGCCAGAAGAGGAGGAGGAAGAAGACGAGGAAGAGGAGGAGGAGGAGGAGGAGGAAGGGGGTTTGGAAGGTGGAGATCTTGAGGATGGTGCTAATGTGACTGGGAAAGAAACCTGCTCTGCTCTGAAATATTTTCATGCTCCCAAAGTTGCCCATCACAACCAAAGAGTGGCCTCTACCTCTAATCCTCTTCCGGCTTCAGGGCACCAGCGGGGACAACAGGGCAAAGAAGAACAGGGTAAAGACACTACTAAGCAACCATATTCCGGTTCCCCGTCTGGACGCCAGAACTGGCGGTTGGATGAGCAGCTCAAACAGGTCAGTGTTAACATTACTTCCTTCTGAATAAGAATGACCATATTCAGTCAGACTGAGGATTTCTTTAGCCCAGTGTCCTGTTACAAGCACTGGCTGTTTGCAAGTGCTTTGGAAAGAGTGCGAGAACCAGGCACGTGCAGAGCGATGCTTCCCTGGTGTACACTTCCAGGTTTATCCTTTTATAAAGAGATTTCGCAAGAGCTTGATTTGCTTTACAGATACAGATTTTCAGCTAATAATATAGAAACCCCAACCTGTCAGAACCTTTGTGGGGAGGTAGAGGTTTGATCTTTGGCTTGGTTATCTTCTATCTCACTGCTGCTGTGCCATTCAGAATGGAACAGGCTGGTGTTATATTTATTTTTGGTGCAGACACTTGCCTGCTAATGTCTCACTCAAGTTATTTCACGTAAGACATCTATAACGCCTTTGTGTCAGACCTCTGGGATGCTGCAACTGGGGCTAGATTTCTGGTTGGTGGTGCAGGCAGGCAGCGAAGAGTGCATGTCCTGCCACTGATCCTGTGAGTAAGCAGAGCCACTTTGTATTTCATGTGTGGGAAGGAAGGAGCTAACTTGCTCCTGCTTGGTTTTGGTAGGAGGTTAATTCTATGTCTGAATGAAGAATTACTAGTCCTTGTAGATAAATGCCAGAGGATCAAGATTTCTGTTCTTTGTTCTAAGTGGGTATTTCAGTTGATGTAGCACTTGTGTGCTCTTTTGTTACAGACCTAACTCAAGCAGACTTTCGGAGAGGTTTACAGCATTTATGTGCATTGAAATTGAGCCAAAGGATGACACGGTTTAAATAAAGAAAAAAAGCTGGACTTAATTGTCCTTTTCTGCAGATGTTAGCCTGAGTGCAAAGAGGGTTAGGTTTTGCTTCAGATAGTTCTTTGCGGTAAGAAACCTCGTATGGGCAAAAACAGAGCTGCTTTTTCTTTCCCTCCTGCAAACCCTGTGAAGTAAAAAAGCTGGAGCTGCTTTGTGGTGGCTGGTGAACCAGAGGTGTTTGAACGGTTGCTGTGGATGCTCAGGGCAGGCTCTCCTCTTAGCTGTTGGTCACATGCATAAGATGATTTGTTTTATGCTGTCACAGGCAGCAGGTTGAGGAGGAACTGCTAAAGCTCAGCAAGCTTTATTTCTTTTCCCATTCCATTTAGTGTGGCCTGTAGGCTCCTGCCCAGCTGCTCCTGCAAAACTGTACCAATTTGGTGTTTCTTCACCAAGGCTTGTGGGAGGAACTCCTCTAAATTGCCAGGTGAATGGCATTTGTACTATTGGTGCTATAAAGCATGCTAGCAAAGCAGCCCTGGTGCATGGGATGCAGCAGGCAACCAGTTGCTGCTGTGTTTTCTCCGTGCTTGCCTCTCAAGAGGGGTTGGGCTGAAAAAAAGAGCTACTCAAGCTGCTGTAGGGAAATGAAGTGGGTATGTCGCTCAGGGGACAGTCACTAGAGAATTTGCTTCAGAATTTACTGGATTGGGAGTGACTGGCAAAAACTTCCTCTTTCAGTTCTCTGGGTGGAGAATAGTAGGCAGGACTCTGGTGTTAGGGGGATCACTTTCTAAAAAAACACCAATAAACTTAGCATTAGTCTTTGGCTGTTTTTATTTCTAGCTCAGCCGGTGCTAATAAGCATGTCATTGTGCTTCTTTCCAATACTTGCTTATCTTGTGAGAGTCCTGTGAATCTTAATTAATAGGCTTGATTCCTAGGTCATTTGCCCTGTTCTGGGAAGACAAATAACCTTAAATGTGCCAGATCTGGTCTTAGCTGATGTGGAATAGCAAAAAACACACAAACAAAAAACCCAAAACTGTTTTACAGTTGGCATACTGTGCACTAATACTTACCCAGTTACTTTGGCCCACTTCAGCAGTAATCAAGTCTTTTGGTAGTAGGTTGCAGCTTTGATTTCAGGCCAACTTATTCTGGAAGCCAAAGTGCACAAAGCTTCACCAGGAAGCAAAACTAAAAGAAAAACTCTCTTGCTTCTGTGTTAAAGTAATCTGTTTCACTGCTGGGGAGGCAGACAGTACAGCAGTAAAGAAAGGAATTAGAGGAATTCATGGACATCAAGTTAAGGAATGGATTATAAAGGAATATCAGGGATGTGCTGTGCTACAACAGTTCTGGATGGTGGGAAAGTATGGCAGGTTCCCATGTTGTCCTGAAATACTGTCTCCTGGTACTGTCATTGAAGATGGAGTACTGGGCTAGATGGTCTGCCCCAGCAAGGCATAGCTTATATTCGTAGTCATGCTGGTGAACGATGTTATTAAGGTGCTATGGCGTGCTCAAAAGGCCATGTTGAAGTGCCCAATATTAGTGATGCGGGTGCAGTATATTCACCTTGAGTAGGGTAAATATTGCAGATCAGCTTGTTTGCATTCACCAGTGAAGTCTGCATACCAGGGAGTAAAAATTTAACTCCACTATACCAGTTCAGAGCTGGTGAGCAGGGGGCTGTGTGGAGGTAGGAATAAACTGGGTGAGCAGACAGGAAGAACTGTTAGCTGGCATGATTGCAAAGGGGCAGAAATGTGTGAGCAACTGTGGACTGTCCGCATAATTCTGTATGCTAAATGGTAGCACGCTGCCCCAGTGTGAGCCTAGCTTGAAATTTTTCATTTCAAAGGCATACTTTAAAGATACTGGGCTTTTTCTTCTGTCTTTGTCTAAAATGGTTGTGTTGGGCAGAAAAAACAGGATCAAATGCAGAAGTGCCTGCATTCTCCAGTTTGTTTTTGAAATGATTCTTGAACTTGCCTTTTTTTTTAGCGTCTGTTCAGATATGGAGGCTAATAACCAGTTAGTATACACTGCTCCCAGCTAGCTCTGCTCTGTGAGTATTTGTGGTATGCATAATGGCTGTTGCTTTCAGAAGAGGGGGGGGAAAGTCATTTCAATTTCTTCTTTCAAGTGTGGATTGTTCTTCTGAAAGTGATGCCATTGGAGAAAAATGTATCTTGAAAGTGTAAGGCTAAGATTGCCTGGAAGGTATGTGGCATGAAGATGGCAGAAAGATGGAAGCTACCAGCAAGATGAAGCCCCATTCTGTTCAGTCCTGGACAGCCAAGTAAATAATTGTAGAACAAGCTGGCAGACAAAAGAGCTGGCTCAGCTTATGACACAGGGGCGGTGGGAATCCTGTCAGCACAAAACAACAAGGGAGTGGAGTTGCTTGTCGGGGAGTTGCAGTCCCGAAAGAAGAGCCGGGGGTGGGTGGTGGTGTGTGTGTGTGTGCTCAGCTCGCTCGCTCCTCGGACTTGCTCGAATCCCCTGCAAATCCATCACGGCTCCGACAGCTGTAGTCTCCCGCAGCCGCCCTCAAAAAGGGCGTTGTGAGCTGCCTGTCTCTGAAGAAAAATGAGTTTTTAATTCCTTGGGTGAAAATGTTGCTTTTAGCAGATGGTTGGGTGTGGGTCCTCATCCCGTGGGTTTTCACATTGCTTGGTGATGTCTCTGGTTACCAGGGAGAGCTGTGTAGGAAAGGCAGGACCACAGCCGCCGTCTTGGTGGTGCTGCTTACTCCTTCTCCACTCAAGGCTGGCATGCAGCACTAGCATGAGCAATTTAGTCAGGCTGTTACTACAGCACGCACATTAGTACGTGCATTCCTTTGTGGAATGTAAAAATAAAGCCAAGGTTTTCAGGCATCAGCTGATACTTAATGCCTTCTTAAATGCAGCAAGGTAAGTCTCCATAAAGCAGCTGTCTGACTTTCAGAGAGTGGTTTGTGGTCTGGTTTTTGGGGATGTCTCATGTTAGATTCTCAGAAATCACGAGTCACTCCTGAAAATCCTGACGTAAACTTTTAAAAAGGTCATGGTGTTTATTAAAGTAAGTCAGCTTAAAATAATTACTTTGCTTTTGCTCTAGGGTCTAGGAATGAGTGGCTGAGATTCCATAACCTTAAGTATGTGCCTCAAGTGGTGTGTCTATTGAGGTATTGCTCAGGAGATACTCATTAATCCAGAGGGGGTGAAGGTCCCAGGAATAAAAAAAGTTGCATTTCACATGGTGCATTTTTTGCCTCCTAGTTATTTCAGATATCCAGGGCCCAATCCAAAGGTTGGATTTTTCATGCCTTATGTGGGTCACTGGGTATTTTTCTTTTTATGATGTAGTGAGAGGAGAATACTTCATTAATAGCTATGATGTTAGATATTTGGTTTCTTTTTTACTGAAAGCTGTTTTCCCAAAGAACAGATTTTAATTCTTAAATTGCCAATTACTGCTTCTCTTTGAAGTTTATGGTTTAGGTTTGTTTTGGTGAAAAGACTTCATGCCTGTGACAGTCTGCTTCTGCTGTAGCACCTAACTTGGTGGTCATATTGATCTGTAACTTAAAGTGCAGCATCAGTGGCTGGAGCAACAAAATCACCTTTTTGTTTAATATACCAAATAATGCATGGGAGAGGAGAACCAAGAAACTGCTTGTGATGACTGTAGGCAGCAGCCTACAAACAACTTGTATTAGACATCAGAGAATTCCCCCAGATCTTCATCTCAAGAGGCAATTCCACAGGCTTCATCAAGGCTATGTTATATTGCAGTGACTGTGCTATATCTGGAGGCAGAGCGAAGGAGCAGAGCGAGGAGCTCATTTATATCCTGGAGAAGATACTTCTCATTTTAGGATTTGTTCAGGTGCTAAATTTATCTTTAGGAATAGTTGCAGCTTGTCTCCTTTGGTGCCAATTTATAGAAATTCTAGCTAACACTGGAGACAGTAGGTGGAAAGAGCTCAAATGTGTTGTATTCTTAACGCTTCTGTTTTTCTCACTTCAGGGTAAATCTGAGACTCTCTCATGTGGCAGTGAGAATTTCTCTTCCCACAGCCATACAGCACTGAACAAATCTTCTTGTCACTTACGTTTTAGTTAATTCCTGTGAGTATTTGTGAATAGGAGTCATTCACAAAGAGCCCAACTTTTCCTTAAGGATAAGGAAGCAGATTCCTGTTTTTCAAAGAATTGTGTTGGTGCTGCAGTCACTAGGTCATGGGAGCCCATAAAGAAACTTAATAAAAAAAGGTAATTAATCTGTTAACTTCAGTCCATTCTTATTCTTTCCTTCCCCATCCTCCCTGCCATTCCTGAAATCACTAAAATGTTTTCAAAACCTGCCTTTGAAGCTTGTAGATATTGAATTGAGCTCTGTTATTAGTAAGACTGGGAAGGGTTTATTCCAATTTCAGCAGAGCTTTACCAGGCAGCTTGTGCATGCAGTAATTATGACTTGGTTCTCCATGCTTGAGAACTTGCAGCTCAGGGCAGTAGTCCTGATCTTATCAGCGTTTTGTAGTACAACAGTTTTCTTTATAATAGCATCTGTTTCACTTCCTAAGGCTTAACTCTACCCACAAAAGGAATTTCTGTGGATTCTCTGATAATCCTGAAATTGCTGCCCCTGTACCTTTTCATTGACTCAGTGCTTTCAGTTAACCCATGGGGTAGGGGAGGGGCTTTCTTTTTCACTGCAACATTTAGCCTTGTCCCTCAGTGGATATTTCAGCAGATTTCTGGCCTAAAACCACTGTCAAAACTGGAGGTCTGCAGTAAGGAGGTGCAGAATGATTTGAGTTTCGTGCCAGAAGTTTTCTTTTTTCTTTTACATATTAAAGCTTTAGTTGGCTCTCTCCAGTTCAGAGTTTGCCATTTGAGTACAACTTTGTAGTCTGGTAAAACCTCATCTGGCTTTAGCTGAGCCCCTCTCAAACAGCTGTATGAAACTGGGGTGGGGGAGAAAGCAGTGACCTGGAAAAGGAGCATTTCCAATTTCTCATCAATGTCCCTGTTTGCACACTAACTGCAATTTGTGCAGGCAAAACTGGAGGAGAAGATGAGATGCTGTTCTGTTTGCCTTAATACTTCACTTTTTTTATTAAGCACAGAGTTTTGATTAGTTCTCTAATCTCTGGGAGGGACAGACATGTGAGATGGTAATATTTGAGAGGTGGGTGTCCTGCAGGGAGGGATTGAGGCAGCTTATTTGTAAGGTTTTTGTCCTCAAAAGAATGGGCTGGATGAAGCACGAAAGTGTTTGTCATCTCCTTTTCTCTCTGCTTGGCAACTCAGGGTTAACTCTGGCTCTTGAATGTGGGATTGGAAACCAAAATTGCTCTGGACATCTGAGCTTCCTTCTAATAAGATATTCCAGGTGGTTAGGGAGTAATCCTAAAATAGCTCCAGATGTAATTGCTTCTGAAGCCAGGCTCACAGCCTCTTGGGGAGGGGGCGGTCTGGGGGGGCTCTGATGACACCCCTGAGGTGTCTGCAGCACAGGGGAGGCTCCCTGGCTCTGCCAGCAGCTCGTGAAGGTGGCCAGCCCTTCCCAACACTTTTGCCTTCCCACTCAGGCTTTGCATCGGGGGGCTCAAGCACTGCCAGTGCCACTTCTGCCACCTTTTTCTGCAAGAAACCAGATAAATTCTTGCCCGTGGTAATGCAAGGGCTGTTTGTCAAACATCAGCAAATTCCCTTGATACAAATGGGTGGAGGGAGAGGCAGGACTGTCCCCAGAGAATGACCTGCCTCTCTGAACAGTGTTTTTTCCTTCCTGCTACTATTGCCTGACTTATACAAAGGTCTTTTAATGACTTGTGAGGATATATTGATTTCTCAGGTTCCTGCTGTTCATACAGAGGACAGCTTCTCAGCATAGGGTAGCTTTGTTTTCCTAGGAGAAATGGAAAGGAAGCTTGATACCAAAGCTCCTGCTGAGCTCTCTTGCTGTGCAAAATGTAGTTTATTCTGCATATGGAGCACCTCTTGCTTTAGTAGCTTCGTGGCCTCTTTACTGATTTACCTGTTCCAGTTGTGCTTGAGTCGCTGTTCTGACAGCTGCCAATATTTGGTATCTTTGGTTGTAGCCTTGGCACAAACCCAAAGGTTTTGGTGAGCAGAATAGTCCCTCAAGATCAAAGCTGAGGCCTGGGAAAGTGCCTGTCGGTGCTTGTACTCTGTTCTCTGAATAAATAAGGCTTTATTCCCCAGCTGCTGAGCTGACATTTCATGCTAGCCTGAGACTTTGCTAACTCTGCTACCCAAAACAAACCTGTGCTCTGTCCTCATGTCTCTGCAGCCCATGTGTTGTTTCAGTGCACCCTTGCTGATTTACATCGTGGCAGCTGCCGCTTGCACCGAGGTGGATGAGAAGCACTCTTATCTCTTCTGATAGCTTAACATGGGGAGTGGTAACTGGCTTTAAACCTTTACAGCTATTGCGGGAGGAAATGCTAATGCTGTCCAGTGTCTCTCACCTTAGATCACTGTGTCATGCCAGGTGATATCCATCTCTGCCAATTTTCTGGACATATGGCAAAACACTGATGCCTTCAACTAGCTTTAAGCTCCTTTTCACTAGCGAGGTGTGGGGGATAATTACTTCGGTGCTCTCGAGCATCTCAGGATGTAGGTGTGGGAAGCAGGGTGCATATATTCTGCTTATTCTCTGTATCAAACCTTAATCTTGTCATTCTTTTCTAATTACCCTTTTTCTTCAAATGGAACAAGTAAAATAACTTCTAAAGAGTCTTTAATCCCATGTGAAGTTCTGTTCCTGGAAATTTTACCAAGTTCAAACCCACTGGCAGTAGAGAATTGTCTCCTTTAAGCCCCCTTCTCTTTCCTGTCCTCAAATCTAGCGGAATAAGCTCTCAGCATGACCAAAGTTGCCTATGAAAGCAAGTGTTTTGCTTCTTGGAGCACCCAGTTTAACACCATGAGCAGTTTTGCCCTCTGGATTTATAACCAAATACAAACTTGGGAAGAAAGCAGCTCAGCCCTCTACAAATCATCTTGCCTTGGAGTGTGTGAAGTTGAGGATGGGAAGTAGCTGCTGCCTTCTGAAGAGACTGTCTCTTATTCTGACTGTTCAGATAGGTTTGTTGATCTGAGTTAACAATCAGTGAGGCTTTAGGAGCAGCTGGATGTTACCGTAATTAGCAAAAAACCTGTGGTTTTAATGTCTGCTAGGAAAGGACACCCAGATGAATCCTCCTGTGAACAAAACTGGTCTTCAGATCTCTTCCTAGAGAGGGCTGGGAATTGATCTGCTGTAATAAACAGCTGACATAACAGAAGTGGCAATAATCCCCCATTAAATATCTTTCAGTTGATGGGACTCACTGGATAATTGACTTTCCAGCAGGAATTACTGGCTCAAACTAAATCAGCAGGCATTAGGGCAGATCACTGCAGTGTTTTTTAAAGGGGCAAATGTAGCTTTGCCTGGCCTTGACAAGAGCTATTCATCTTTCTAATTCAATGTATGTGTCACAACCAGATGACTCCAAGATTTCAGAGATTGGACCACCTCTCTAATTCACATGCTTTTTTTTTTTTTGCCTTTTTTTTTTTGTGCTGAAACCTCTTGCTATCCTCAATGCTTTTCTATCTGCATTAGGATGCTGTGTGTTTATCAGGACAGGGTAGTCCAAGCTACCTTGCCAGATGGATTTGGCTGTTGTCTTTCCTTGAGTGGCTCTGGAGCACTTGCTGTACTGGAGGTTTATGAAATTTATGGTTTAAAGATACTTGGACAGTTTTTCAGAATCATTCTTCTGGTCTTGATCCTGCTGTACAGCCAGAGGCTACCTCTGCTGGTTTCCAGCCCCAGTGATCATTTCAGGATGATGGTTTACCAAGTTGAATAGGCCTAACTAGAGTAATCCTTCTAATGCATAAGAAGAATGAACCTTAATCCAGCAAAGCTGAGCTTTCCATTTCTGTGGTGAAAATCCAGATCCAGGAGTAAGGGTCCTGGCTTGGCAAGAGGCTTTCCAGTGGGATTATTTCCCTCTTTCTTTGGCATACTCTGGTTTTGGTTTTGTAGGCAAGTGGGGGAGGACAGAAGGGCATTTCCAAGTGTGTTCGGTGTCACCTGGCGAACAGAAAGGAAGGATGCCTGGATAACACCTGAGTCTTTCACTAGGGGCTCTGGGATGTACACTTGGTAAAAAGATGGACATGGAGAGCAAAAGCAGCACCTCTCTGTTTAGGTGCTGGACCTTATTACACCAAAGCACCTGCTGCGAGGTGGGTGGGGGGGGTAGTATACTTCTGTTTAGCAGATGAAGGAAGGCAGCTGGTGAAGGTGTTGAGGACTTTCCACGGGAATGGTTTTCCCTGGCATCAGATAGCTTTTTTGAGATACATTCTGCAAGAAAAATCTTAGCACTGAAAAACTTCCCGACCTTCAGTAGTCTCCTGGAAGGTGAAATCCCACTTCCCATTTTGGGCTGAGTGTCAGAGATTCCAGGAAAGTGTGCTGTAACAAATGCACAAATGTCCCCATCTTTCTAGTCTTTTAGGTCTAAGCCAGCAGCTGCTTTTGCATGTGTTTGTGCCCAAAAATGCACATTTGCAAGCTTTCTGGAATTGTCCACAAAGCCTTTCGCTGGCCATCCTTTCACCCTTTCATTTCTCTCTCCCTAGAACGGCAACGTGACCTGGAGCGATGAAGGTGATGGATGCCGAGGAAGAGAAATTTCACGAGACTTTGCCAAGGTCAGTCTGATCATGGGGATTTGGGGGAAGGGGTAACTTTGGGGAATTCTTCCCCTGATCTGTGACAGAGGGTGACTACGGAGCCCTCACTATTCCTCTACAGTGAACTTGTAAGAAAACTGCTTTGTCCTACAGCCCTCTGCCTACAAACCATCTATTTGGGGCTGTTTTGTTGCCTTTGGTCACTGGAATATAGTTTGAACTAAAACTTAATCACCAAACTTTTGACATTTAAAATCTTAGTCAATGCTTTCTTCAGCTGGGAGAAGAGTATTTTGTTTCTTGAACCTGATTAGCACTGTGGTCGTGGATTTGAATGTGACAGCTGTGTGTCACATCAGCCAGAGGAATTCATTTTAAACTAAGCTGGCTCTTTCTGAAAGGGTGCAGCTAATTGCTCTGCAAATACACTGGTGTGCTTTCTTCCCAGAGCTCAGTGGTGAGAAAGTGCAGAGCTTCACAGGAAATGAGCCCAAAAAGACCCTCTTCTTTTAGGCTAGATGAATACCAAGTAGCTAGCAGCACCTACGGAGAGACTGAAATACATATTGCCCAATGAATATTTGCTTTTCCATTGAGCTGCTCCACAAGAGTAGCTACAACCAGCAAAAAATTCCCTGGAGTAATGCAGGTTTCTTCCTCAATGCAAATGAGAGAAGGAATTGAATTCTTCATGTAGAGCATTGTCTTCTGTCTTGTTCTATATCCTCCTGTATCTCAGTGAGAGGCTGACTTCGGCCCTTTCAGCCTGTCACTTTGTGGCCTCACAGGCTTCTTGATAGGTGAAAATTAGATTTTTCTGTTCAAGAGGTAGTTGTAAGATGACATTCGTGCCTGTCCCTTCTGAAAAATCAGTGGATAATGGTAGCATACAGTGCCTCTCCTTTGGAATAAGCTGCCCATGGAACTTTATTTTAAGTGCTTGGGTTTTTAAGCCTTTTGGTAAAATTATTTCTGCAGAAAATTGGTTCCAGGCTGGTTTCTGATATTTTTTAAGGCTTTTTGGCTTATTTTAGAGGAGCCTGTCCTGCCAGGCATTAGTAGTTACAGGATGGCTCTATCCTTTCGTGTCCTCCTTCAAGGGACTTGGAGTTTGTCACTTATGTGACAACCCCTGAAGGAGGGAATCATGAGGCTAGGGGAAGCTGCAGAGAAGTTTACCTCCCTGGTGCCTTAAAGGTACGGACCACTAATCTGTCCTGAACCACTGTCACCTTCCTTTTGGTTGTCTTGTCTTTCTTTCCAGCTTGTCTTAATACTTTCTCTCCCCTTTGCTTCCAGGTGGTTTCAAACCCTGCTCTGTAGTAGTGCTGTTAACTGAGTTGAATCCTGTTCCCCTCAGGGTGCCAGTCTCTTCTGTGCCTGGATGAGTTACTGAGGGGCTGAGCAAGGCAAGCCATAACGAGGCTCTTCAAACTATCACTGCAGCCTTGTCCACCAAATTGCTCAGGAATTCTTCCTTGGTTTGCCTCTTTGCCTGCGGCTGCCTTTCACCCCTCCAGTACAAACAGCGGATCACCCATTGGAAGAAGCTAATACTATTACTTTATTTTCTGTCTCATTGTAGACTGTGCCTTCATTTTTATTTTTATCCCCAGCTCTATGAACTGGATAGTGATCCTGAACGGAAAGAGTTCCTGGATGACCTTTTCATCTTTATGCAGAAGAGGGGTGAGTGAGCATTTGTTGAACTCGATAGGGTAAAACGGGGCAGAGGGGTGCTGCTGCTGTTTGAATTTTTCTCTCCTGAGTTTGAAAGAACAAATCCAGCCCTTGAGCTTGCAGATCAGATGGAAGAGCAGGTGGTAAGACTCAGGATATTTGCCTTGGGAGATAAGGAGTGCAGTAGGAAAGAACTCCTCTGCCCTGTAACTTAATTTCACAGACCGTATTTCTTTACCCTCCTACCTAATACTGATGTTGTCCATGCACTGAAGAGCCCAAGAAGCCTGGTTCTGTGAGGATTTTTGAAGCAAGGCTGAGTACTACTGGGGATTTCTCTGGTCTCCCCTTCAGGTGGCATGATTACACATCTTCTCATGTTTGATTTCAATAGCATGTGGAAGCTGAGTGTGGATGCCTTCACAGTCTGCATAGAGTAGTGGTGTGTAATTTGTGGACTGGGAAAATAGACACCAAGCCACATTTTCCTGTATATTCACAATGTGTCATCTTTCTGTTTAGTAATTTTGTGTAACTGAGTGCAGAAGCGCGCAGTTTCTCACATTCCTCCCTGTGGTGTCAGCAACTTGCATCTCTCCTTGCTACAGGAGTGATGATGCATGTGTGAAGTAGCTCAGCTGGGATGTCACAAAGTCTCTCTCTGTCCCCTAGTTATCAAAGTTCAGTTCCCTCATTGCAAACTATTCATAATATAAATGTGCATATACGTGGTATTGTATAAAACATACATCTCTGAACATCTGTGGTAAATCCTTTGTGGTGCTCTCTTCCTTTACCCCTCCAAGCATGCCAGGCCAGACTGACTCTTCCAACAAAGATGCATCTGACAAAGTGTTAAATTGTGCTATAGACCTTTTCATTGTTTCCAGAAAGTCCACTGAAGGTAGGTGTGAAGAGCAGACATAAAAAGGACCCTTTGCTACCTCATGGCATAATGCTCTCTGTGTGCTGGACCAAACAAGCCAGGTTGTGCTTATTTGGAAGGGAGGCTGCCTTAGCCTCACCAGCAATATTGTGCCCTGAGAGTCTAATAAAGCATAAAGATGCAACATCTCAGTCTCATCTGTTTGAAAATTATCTGTTTGCTGGGTTGGAGCTAGAACCTTATTTCCAGTTATCTTTTGAACCCTGCATCCTCAGATGCATCCCCCTCTGTGAATGACTATATCACAAGCAGAGGAAAGGCTATCCACAAGGCAGCTACTGCAATTGCTCTTCATATCCGTGTCTTTTTCCTGGCATGGCTAGAGCTGACAGCTGACCTGTGTGAATTTTCACTCTCCAGCAGTTTGAGGTTATGCTTCCAAGTCAGTTAAAAATTAGAGCTGGGTTTTGCTGGTATTTTTGGCTTTTGCTTGCAGAGGCATAACCGGGCTTAATTAGTTTACTTGCAAATGTTAACCTGAGCTCACATGCTAGTGTAAGGGCTGGGATGGCTGGCAGAAAAGACAATCTGAAGGGGGTGATTGGCAGCAATAGAAACCTCCAGATACCTAGAGAGAAAACTGCTTAATACTTCAGTGTCTCCTTCCTGTTACCTTTTAATTATTTACAATTGACATGTTCCTGGTGCAGGGACTGAGCTGGTCACCAGCTGGTTGCTGTAGGAGTTTAGGTTTTAATCATCTGGGCATTTCCAACTGTATTTGTTTTCTGGAGACTCCCTTGTTTTCTTGCTTGCTAGAAGGCTGAAAATGAAATATAAGAGCCCAGCACCCATGGGGGAGAGATGCCATGAACTGACAGCCCTCTGCCAGAGGCCCTAGAAATGTTTGGCCCTGTTCTGGGGACTTTGGCTAGATTGCAGGGGTACGAGGCAGTTCTGGGCTTGCTTTATACTTTGGCACCCCCAAAAGAAGTAGGCAGAAGGACTCTGCGGAGCTAAGGTTCTTCAGGTTGATAGAACTGAACAGCATAGGTTGAGTATAGGAGGCAGCTTCTCTTCTGTTATTAATCTAAGCCACTGTGTCTTATGCAGAGAAAATCTTTTGACTTGGCATGGTTTTTCAGAATCTGTACTGTTCACTTTTCCCATGCCTGCTCTCCCCACTGCTATCTACAGCAGGGCTTTGGTTTTCTAGTAAGCAGATGGACTTGCCTACTGTGTCCTATTCTGGGATCTTCAAAAATCTGGGAGCTTCTACAGCAAAGTTATCATAGGATACTGTTCAGGCTTTCATTTCTTTTCCCCTTGCTTTATGTGCCAAATGAGCATCCTAAACCAAACAAGGCTGAACAGCTGCCTTGTTCTGAAAGAGTCCCCCCAAAGATGGATACAACTGAGGGCTCATTGCACCTGAGAGCGAAGTGTTGTGTTTCTTAGCTAGTATGTGTGAAGAGCTGGTTAATTTGCACCTCATGTCTTAAGGGAATGGAAAGCAGTTCTGCTAATAAACATTGCTGGTGTAAAGATGGGGATTTTGTTGTTGTCCAGGAGGAGCTGGAGAAGTGCTGGCTCTTGTTTGGGGCTGATGGATTTGGGGCACAGATTGCTAACTGATGCTGAACCAAAAAAAGCCTGATGTGAAAGATAAATTACAGATTTCACAGGAGCTACCGAGTAGTTGGAGGGATGAAAAGATTTGGTTGTTGGTGCTGCTGTTAGGAATGTACCTAGAAATGTGAAGCCATGAAACAGGCTTAATGCAGATCAAATGTGCAGGTCTCATCTGCCTCTGAGCACAGCAGGTTGTCGCTGAATGACCGCAGCTGCAAGTGATAAAATGGCCCTTCAGTGGCAATAATGATGGAAGAGGGAGATGAGAGGAAAGCTGTAACTCTTCCTTTGTTGGATGTTTTATTCCTTGTATGTGTTTAGGTGAATGGATCCCACCATGGCTGTGATTGAAGGGGCAGATGGGGAGAGGAGGGGAGACCAGCTGATGAGAGCAATTAGTGTGCAGGACTAGCTTCGAAACAGGCCTACAACAGGACTGACCTGATGCAGCTTGGCAGGGACGACGCTAGCTTGCTGTATTACCACTTCCACCTTCCCTTTTGTCAGCTTTTCTGCAGTCTCAAACCAAAGGTCATCTTTCCTTGGACTGAGCAGGGATAAGCAGCTTCAGCAGTGGCTTCCCTCCATCTCCATTGCTGATCTGGTGTCTTGTGACAAGTCGAGCCCTGATGTCTTGCGGTCTGGTTTCTCAGAAGCTGTATTTTTAACCTCCTGCTGCATGAGGAGCTGCTCTATGGGCAAGTTTGTGGTTCAGAGCATTTTTAAGGGCACAGGTTGAGGCTTATCTGCTAGTGCACTATGGAGTGGGTTGCAACTGCAGGCATGGAGGCTGGATTTGTTCTGCCTGCCACTGAGGACGCTGCAGGCAGGAGCAGTTTTCTAAGTGCCCAGGCTAGAGCTGCATCCATTACAATAACTCAGGGTAATCTTGTGTTCCCCCATCTTTTGTATTACTGAAAAGAGTTTTATTACAGAAATGTATGTAGCCAGATGGGCAAGTTCATTTACTCAGATCAGTCGCAGTGTTAGAGATGATGACATCTTCCACTTCTTTGCGGGTCTTTCTCACCCTGTGAACATACCCTGAAGCTAAATTTTGTCTGCATCTTTTTTGTGTGTGGTAGAAGGCATAGATATGATGAGTAGTAGAAAAATGTAGCTGTTAGCCCTGTAGCATGCACTAGGTAGCATAGCTAGACTGCTGTTTGTCCCCAGATAGTGAAGGACTGTTAGTGGCATGACTCTTACAGCTGCTAAGGCAGCCACCAATAATTGAGCTGATTGTATTCCACTAGTGCTGGTCAGGAGAGAGTTGGAGTAGTGGGACTGTTTCATCCCCTGGAAGGATCAGCAGTGTTTGTGCAAGACATTCCTCTTGAGAAAAGGTTTGATGGGGAAGAGATCTAACTGTGTGCTATGGTGTATTAGGAAAGGCTCCCTTTCAAGGGAAGCTGTTTTGTTCATTTTAAGTACTGCCTTTGTGAAGACCTCATAAAATGTCTCCAATTGTACAGCTCTACTAATTTTGTTCAAGGTTTCTGCGTGACCTTGGTTTTCCCAGATGGCTTGACCATTCTGTTTTTTTATGTGTATATACATAGAAGGGGCTTTGTAAGTCTGACCGTGTGGTTTTAATGTTTTCCTGCTGTTGTATGCTCTGTCTGCACACTTTAGATGTGGAAATACAACAAATCCAGGGTATTGACAAAAGCATTTACTGATGGATTCTTTTATCTATAGGCCAAGTGGTGTTTATGAAATGTTTGTTCAGGGAATACGCTTCATTCTTCTACTGATTCAATTTTGCAGGTTTCTTCTTTAGATTCTCTGGAGATATTTTCAAATCTGAATTAAGCAATGTAGTTCTCTAAATGAGACATCAACAGACATAAATTCTCAGCATCCTTTGCTCACGCTACCTGCTTGATGCTGAGCTACAGCAAATGCTTCCCTAAATAGCAGATGATGTTCTGCAGTGGAAAATTCTCACTCAAGGCACTGCAGAGGTCTCTTCTGGATGATCCAGGTGAACCAGGTGAAGTCCTCTTCACCATTAGACCCTTGGATTTGTACACAGCAACATCTCTGCCTCCTGTACCTCCTCTAAAGAACCTCTCCTTTGGTCAACTGTTTTGACTTAGACTCAGGAAAAATGGTGACTAGTGTCTTGTGCAAATGGTAAGCAGTGGGGATCAGTGAAATATTTTAGGTTTTTACTTTTATATTGTTGGAAAGATTTACTTTTCCTTAAGTTGTAGGGGCAACTGGCATTCTGATTTACATTCCTTTGTATTAAGTGATTTGAGCCTTTCAGAACAGGGAACAGAGAATGCACTATTCCGTGTACTTAAACACTTTTAAGTGATGCTAGGATAAAAACAGGTGTGAAGCAAGATGCTTGGGATCTCCAAACAACTTGAATCCAGCTCTTCTGGGGATGCATAGTCCTGTACTTGAGGTAGGGCTCTCTGTAGCATCCCAAAAACTCTTGCAGGGAATGTCTCGCTCATCAGCCTTAGGTGCCAGGTGA